AATCACAGCGCTGTGTCATCTGCGATGTGTCTGTCTCACGGCCAGCTCCCAGGTTTGATTAATACTTTGTAATAAATACATGAATAAAGCACAATCATACTCAGTTTTGGGCCCGCTGTATTTTTAAATACGCAGTAGAGGTATTTAAAGGTAGTAGAGGACATGTACCTGTATATAAAAAACGCGCCCTATAGTCCGGTGCGCCTTATGTGTGTGTTAAATACAGAAATGGCACACATAACTGAGAGTGCGCCTTTTAGTACGGTGCGCCTTATGGTCGTGAAAATACGGTAGTAGTTCGGCATCTAGTCTTTGCCTACTTTGTGAGACAAATGTCATGGTTGCTAGGCGACAGAGCGAGTGAGGGGTGTTGACAGCTGGAGAAGGCTCAACCTGTTTAATTCTATAACCGATCTCTTCCAGCCTCCGAAGGATCCAGTTTACCTGGACTGGGTCCTTCGAAATAGAACACAGCCGACTGCATATAACCTTCACAGTCGTCTTCTTCTTGTTTAATGGTGGCTGGTAAAAATTTTTTAGGCACATTTACCGCCACCAGTTGTAAGAAATGTAACAGCTTCATCAGTAGTCTCAGGTACTCCTGGATTGGATTGGTACTCGTAAATATGTCATTTGCACAGGCATTGGTGCAAAGTTCTAATGTGTTTTTGTAACTTCCAAACTTATATTCTCACAGCCGGAGCATTTGAGTTCACTTGGAATGTCAAGTCGACAACAAGGGAGAAAAAAAAATACAAATTCTAAATATTTTCATGTTTACTGAGTTACATTTACAAATGAAGACACCTACCCATATGTTTTATAACCATCACTGTTCCCATCAACCTCAAGGAGTTTTTACATTGATGCTGATTTTTGCACAGTTTCTATCTTAGTAAATAACGTGCTGCTGTCATTCTTTTGACCATCTTTGGTGTTGCTGCTATTTTTCACATATCCATTACTGTAAAAATGTCCACAGCTGTTACTGATTATTTTTTATTCTCCAGATACAGTTTTTATAGTGTAAAAACACTGTACAGTACAGTACTCTACTAGTTTTATTTTCCTATCTGCTATTTTTATACACTTCTTTAAGGTGTACATTGTGTGACCACTCCTACTATAACCTTTTGCTACTGTTAACACCACAACTTCCCCCATTGTGGAACAATAAAGGGATTTTCTATTCTATTGGCAGTTGTCTTGTCCCATATTATTACTCACCTTTCTGGTGAACTCTGCTGCTTTTTAAATCCTGGAGGCAAAGCTGGTCCAAAGAAACCATCATCGTCATCATCTTTTGATCCCCTGCTCAGAAACACGTGTTAATATTGTGTGTTTTTCAAATGTTTTCTTAATAACCAAACACTAAAGTGAGGACCTACTCTGCAGCTCCTGCTGTTCTGGCTCTTTTGGGGGCCACTTCCGGCTCACTCTCCTCAGAGGAACTCGACGGCTCACTCCTCTTATAACCAGGAGGCAGCGCAGGACCAGCGACTATGGGATATTAAGAGACAAAAACACAACTCAGCTGGAATAAATTGTTGAAAACAAACATTCCAAGATGGCCTCAGACTCGTTCTGTTTCTTACAATCATTTTCCTCCTCATCACTCTCAGAATCCTCCTTATTAAACATCGGCGGTAAAGCAGGTCCAATTATCTTATCGGACGACATATTTGATATAACTTTGCCTGTTTTTTATTATGATAGGAATTCAGTCTCACGTGCACACAAAAAGACAGCTACGCTAATCTGGACACATACACGACCCTTTAACCCGGAAGTAAACAATGGAACGGCCGGTGTTATGCCCAAAAGTGCATGCCTCCCGAAATATGCATCTCCAGTCGCGGGAGCGCGCCTCGCTCTGTTGAACTGCATATCGACGAGGAAAAAGGATTAAAATATGTTTAATGGAGCTTAGGTTCTTATATTAATAATATAAGAAAAAAAAGTTGTGGTTATTTGGCAGATTCATTTACAAAAGTACGGATTTTTTGAACAACATTAAATCCAAAGATTTTGACCATGGTACGGCTGATTTATTTGTTGTGGTCTCTTGTTATTTACACACTACACTAAACCTTGATAGCCGACGTGAGTTTTGAGTTTGCAAAGCTTTCTCTTAAGTGGAAAATCAAACGCGCATCTACACAGCACAGCGTTCACAGACCAGTGAGACGCGTTCGCTGCGCGTCAGAAAGCTATGGTGCATTCAGCAGCATTGGAACATTTTAAACTTACAAGAATGAGGCATAAAACAGAACTGTATTTTACTGAACTGTATTGTATTTTTTTTTTTTTTTTTTTTGTTTATGGACATTGCTAGCTTTTTATTCTAAAAAATCTATAATATTACAGCAGCAATTTATCAAAGTTTTTCAAAATCCTGTTTAAAAGCTCCAAATGGGGCTTCAGATCATATGAAGCGACAATTGCACTGTCATTATTTTACAGGGCAGAATTTGCATTTGCTGATCCTTGTACTTAATTACTGATGAATATACAAAAATCCAGACGTACAAGTGTCAACTCCTCTGAGATAGCAGGGGATGCAGTTTTTGGCAAGGACCTGCCACAAAATGCATCCCCCTTTGTTTTTCACTTAAAGATTGTCCCACACACATGAAATTCAAAGTGGTAGCTCAGTACACATGTGGAAGCAGGTAGAAATTGTTACATCAGCTACAACTGTATATTTCTGGAAAAAAGCAGGGGATGCAATTTTTGGCAAGGACCTACCGTTTAGGTAATCAAGATTTACATCTTACATCCAACCTAAATGTAAACTTTTACCTTACATTTGCATTTCACCTTTTTGGATTTGGAAAATAAAACCAGTTGCAAACACAGTAATGTAGTTCTTTTGTGCTATTTACTTTATTTTTAGTGTATTATAAAAAACAAAGTCTTACAGTTCCATCAAACAACATTAAACAGGTTTCAACATTTTTGAAGTAGCTTCCAAACAAAGTGGAATAAATATAACAACATATAAATCACAATTTAACTTGGAACAGTGTAAAGCAAAAATAATTTAAAGGAACTTAAATTAAATAATGTTTAAGTCGAAGTATTTTCTTCAAACTTGTGTCTTTTTCAACAACAGTTGAAAACTATATGTACAGTGGACAGCAATACTCAGTGTCAGGTGGTGGGTTGTTGACACAGCCATGGTGGTACCACCTGTTGCATCCGTCACAGGCAATCTGAAATGGACAAGATTCAAATAGGATTACTAATAGCCTTGATACATGTTACAATTAGCATTTAATAACATGGATACATGATGTATGTGCGTCCGTGTATGATGTATGAGGTGTGGGTGAGAGAGTTTGTGTATACATATTTTGAAACACATTAGCATTTGTTTAAATGTAAAGTCTGATGCTAGTTGAGACTGATAGCTGTTTGTAAAAGCCCATGGATAAGAAACTTTATTTCTATTTCAAGGTATCTTGCACGCATTCTATTTTAACTCGCAGGCCTGTTTACTCTGTGAGGCTCCTGTTGATGACCTGCTGTTACATAATGGAGCCTCTACATGGACCATTTAACTTATTAGAGGTCAAAGGTCACCTGAAATCAAACATAAACAAGTTTTAACCTAATCAGTGAAAAAGACATTTCCTAAAAAAAAATATATATATTATGTGTTTTTTTTTCTTTTTCTCCTTTTAAGGAAATCACGGCTGAAAGCAGCATGATGTCACCGCGGCGATGGGCGTGATGTCACAAGTCTGTTTACCTTCTGCTGATTGACGCACCAGCGGCACGTGAGGCGCAGCGTTATGTAAGAGCAGCCGACTTCTGGGAAAATAAATAATGACGTTTTTCTCTCATTCTGGGATTTATTTCTGCTTCAGAGGAAAAAAGCTGAAATCCTCCAGAAAAATTCACAAAGAAGTTTAAAGAAAAATGATTAATAGAATTACTATAATTGGTTGTGAAGGTTTATTTCCACATATTTCACTAAGTTTATTATTATAGTTAATGTTATTATCTTATTATTTCCATTATATTATAATCTCATCATTTAAACAATTACTATAGAAATAGACAACCAGTTTTTCTTCCTTATTTTCTATAAATCCTTCTAAACTAAACCTTCAGCTGCATTTTCTAAACTCACAAACATTTCTCCTAGAATTTGAACATTTAAAAATGATTTTAAATGGTATTTTCTCTTAATTCTATTATTTTAAATATAGGAATCTTTGTTTGTTGCAGCTGTAGTTGATAAAGGAAGCTGTAGATCATTTTGGATCTGAATTTAATTAATTAAATCTATTTAAACAATGTTTCTGCTTAGCTGTTTTCTAACAGAAAACCTGGATATCAGAGGCGTTCAATAAGCAAAGCCCCTCACACACTTCCAGTTCTTTGATCTAGCTGAAATTTTACATACATAATTATTTATATCTCTATAGATTAAATGGCAAATTACAGCTCTGAAATAATTGTGGTTTCTGATTTACAGGAGTTTGAGCGTGCCCATATTAACATTTCTTATTTTTTTCCAAAAACCTCTGTTATTCAAAGGACTCTAGAGGGAGAAACAGGAGTGACTTATGCAGTGGAACGGCTGAGAGCTGGAAAACTGATTTAATTTCAGATGAAGATCAACACATTTCAATACAGTTTGGCATTGTGTCAAAACGATTCAAGCTCCCTCATTAACCCATCACTATTACGAAGATAATAACGTCTTGCAATAAAACTCTTGGCTTGAAATTTAGATTTTCAAAGTATTTAACTGAGTGTCCTAAAAAGGGTTAAGGAGGAAGATTCTGATGAAGATCAACACATTTCTGCCTGCAATAAAAGCTACGTTCACTGGTCTTTCCAATGCTGCACTATAAAAACTTTCAATCTAAATGTAAAAATTTTTCTTAAAATAAGTACATTTGTTCTTAAATTGAGGGAGGAAAGTGAAACACTTTATATTGGGATGCAGGACAAACATTTGGTGTGTATGTAGAAAGATAAGCTTGTTTTTGAACAGGGAGTTATTTTATTTAGATAAAATGTGATGAAACAGCCAACCCTCTGGTGTATATTGGACATCAGAGGGCTCTTTCTTGACTTCCACCTTTGGTAAAGGACGACTTCTTTCCATGAGCTTTCTTCCAGGCTTTAAAAAGAAAAAAAAAGAAAATTCATCAATGCACATGTTTTTCTTTAGTTTTGCTTAAATTTTTCTTTTCTTTTAATGGAAGAACTGTATAAGACCAATTGTGGTTAAGTTTCTTTGCTCAAAAGGACAAAACTGCTATTTTGGATAAAGTGAAGTACCTTAGAGGCACTAACATTTCAGTTAACAAAGATTACTACAAAGCTTTCAGACAAAAAAAATAAATCTATTCCTAGCATGATAGAAACCTAAAAACGGGGGTCTTAGCTGAGATTTGCAAAGCTCATTACTCATCCTATCAGAAATCATTCAAACATTTATGAAAGCTACTAATTTGTTGTTTTTGATGTGATGCAACATAATGGCTAAAATTACATAAGTGAAAACTGGCCTGCATAAAATAATGGAAAAAAAGACAGATTTTAAGACAGGACTTTTTTCTTTTAATAGAAATGTTCTAACTTTTGCGACAATAGTCTGATATAGAGTACATTTATATACATGTTTAAGCCAGAATGATCTGACATTCAAAACAATGGCTAACTTCCAGCCATGGCGTCCTGCATGAGCATTGGGGCTTGATCCGTTCACGTGTCAGGGTACGGAGAAATAAAAGAGCAGTGTGGGACAAGCAGACAACCATGATTGACATGTCAAGGAACCAATCGTGTACAACGGACTGTCTTTTGTGATCGGTTGAGGTTATTCATTGATTTCTCACTGTAGCGGGGACCATTTATTTTAGTTTCACTTCCAGACTTTCTATTTCACTGCTTGCTAAGTGACTGTGGGGAGATCTTCAAGCCACATGGTATAAATGCATTATAAAAGATCTCCTACTGCACCTTTAAAATGATCAGTTTTCTTAATCTGCAAATGATTTTATGTAGAACTAGGAATCAGTTACTTAAAATGAAAAAGACCTGTGTAAAATTCGCTTCAATATTTGTGGATGGGGACTTCACTCTGTGTAAACCTTATGGAACTGCTTGTTGGTTTAATGATAAATGATAAATAAGTGCTCCATTTATTAAAGAAGTTCTGACTCCATATATGTAACTCTTTACATTGACAGTAAAAATTGGATGTATTACTGCTGATTTTAAGGTTGCCAAAGTTATCCCATTGTTTAAATCTTGTGATCATTGATCTTTCAACATTTATCACCCCATTTCCCTATTAACTTGTTTTTTAAAACCTTTAGACAAAGTAATTTACCAAAGAATGATTAAACATTCAAAAGAATATGATATTATTTAACTTTATTAAAAAGGTTTTTGAAAAATTTTTATGAATCGAAATATATGCAGGTCTATGCAGCAGGTTTGTTTTTCACACAGTGCACAATATTTTATTTACGGTAAGTAAATTATATAACTATGGTTTTAATGGAGATTTATATATATATAGTGAATAATGTGAAGTGAATAATGTGATCTTTTGTTGTTTATTAATTGCCATGTAAAATAAAATAAAAACATGAGCGGTTTAGTGATAGTTCATACCTGCAACAAGGTCGTCTAATGAAGGGAAATGAGCTCTTGATGTATATTGAATTTTGATTCAATTGAATATTGAAATTGGAAGTGTATTACACTATACAAAAAAAGAAAGCAAAAAAAAATAACATATAGAGGCCTCGAGTATTATACTAATACAAATTGTAAAAGCAGTGTGAACGCCTGTTTAAAACATTTAAGAATGGCTTACCATTTTCTGTCTCACTGTTAGAGCTCGTTTACACTTCCTCTGCTTCTCCTTCTCCCTCTCCATCTCCTGCTGACGTTTCTGCTCACGTATTCTGGAATGATAAGTCCAATAAGACAACCTATACCAGGTAACTAACTCTATTACCTTTATTCCTTTTTTAAGCTCTTCCAGTTCAAGTAGCTTTATCAAACAGCTTTGGTGTTTGAAAATTTGGCGTTTTTTTCTGGCAATGGTTCATATTAATACATTGATGACTTGGAAAGCTACTTTTTAGGCAGATCATCCTTTGCCCCTGGAGTCAGAATTGGAAATTGTGCAAACTTAGGTTTTCCAGCATTTAACACCAAATTAGCATTGTGGAATAGTCTCCAGAGATATAAGTGTGAGAAATGTTTAGTCTTTCTTATTCACTTTTTTTTTTGTTCTATCTCATAAAATCTCTTTAAAAACTCTCAAGCCTTTCAAAAAAACATAGATTAAAGAATGAATGAGAATTCTTTAGGAAGATGTTATATGTTCACATGACTCATCAATGTTAGCCAAAGCTCTTGAAAACAAACCTGGCCTTAATGAGGGCGTCTCGCTCTTGCTGAAGTTCCTTTTCAGGGATGTTTTCAAGGGTCTTCATCAAAGCGAGGATAGGCTCTATAACACTTATGAGCTTTTCCCGAGTTGGTGTAGAGATTGGTTGTTCTTTGAAGAAGCAGGAGTAAATTTCTGTCACCCTCCTATCCACAGTCGTAAAGATGGGATCCTGTAGAGAAGAACAGAATTATATGAGTTATTTTGGATCTAAAAAGGTTTGACAATTGAAAACAAAGCTGTGAAAAATATGTACTCTGTTACACATTTCCATTTTTTTTTGGCACACATAATGTTTCATTTGATCAAACATATGCCATTATTAGATGACAATGACCCAAGTAAATATATAAAAGCTTTTAAGCTAACATGCCTAAAAAAACAGATCCTATGTGAAACAATAACTGACCATCACACTACCATTTCCATGTTTTAGTTTTGCCATGATGTTCACAACGATTGCAGTTTTTTTTTTGAAGATCAGAACTCTAAAAAAAAAACCTGTTGATTTTGATTTCAGCCAGTACTGATTTTGTTTTATTTGTTTATTTATTATGAATTTACATAAGTGCCATTCGTACATGACTGTGCCATCAGTGCAATGCCCATACTGTAATGATCTCTGCACTGATGCTGGGCTGATCACTCCTTCCATACACCTGCTCAGCTCCGCCCGTCCCTCAATCAGCTTTCACCAGCTTCACCTGGTTCCATCACTATATAATCACCATAACACCAGACGTCAGGGCCAGATTATCTTGTGCTAACCCGGTAAGATTAATCCAGCGTCATCTAAATTACTTGTTTGCCCGTCTGTTAACTGCCCCGTTCTGTTTCTGATATTGACCATAATTGATCCTGTTCTGACTCTGTCAGCCTGTCTGGATATCCTTTCTGTTCTGCTCCTGGACCTCTCGATTTCCAAATCTGTCTGCCTTCCTTTGGATCATAAACCCAGGAAATCTCCTCATAAACTGTCTGCCTATCAGTCTGCAGCCTGCTGGCTCCTCTCAGACTCAAGCCCTGCTCACAAAGCACGCTGCTGAATAAACTATGCTCTAACGTCACTGAACTGTCTTGGTTGTATTTTGTTCCAGCCTCTGTTCTTCACACATACATGTGAGCAAATACATCTTGCAATTCATTTGTCCAAGATTTTAAAGATCCCATTTCCTTACAGAACAGACATGATTCAAACAGATCATGTCAAACATGAACAAACAGAGCTATCTTATCTATTGTATTATTATATTATATTAATATTAAATCTGTTTTTCTTCACCTTCTATAAGATTTGCATATTTAATAAACAAGTTACTCAAACTGTTCTTGATTCTTGATTTCTTAATGATTATCGACAATGTCCGGTTTTATAATACAAACTTGTTTTAACTACACACGACATAGCACTACTAAATGTAAAAGAACATTTTAAAGCACCGAGAGACCTCAGTGGAGGTAGATATTGGTGGAGAAGGTCAGATGAACGCCAACCAGCCAGAATGAAGGACATGCCCCTAATTAAAATAGCTGCTTGTTTTACGTTGGATGTAACAGAATCACCCATCCAGAAAGTTACCCTTTTTCCTCGTGGTTCCATGAATCATCGAATGTAATTTTTACCCTGTCTCTTCTGTATTATTGAATCATTAAAAGTAAACATTGATGGAGGCCAGTGAGGCCTGGTGGACAATCGATCTTAACTTTGTTTTTTTTAACGATCTCCAGAAGGAGTCATTGAACCGATTTTGGGATACTTTCTGTTCATTGGCTGCTCCCAGAGATTAATCACTGTTTGACACATCCCTGTGGTCTGCTCGACTTCAAAGAGTTTTAAAAATGGCTTCTTCAACCTTGTTCGGATGAATAGATTCCATTAATTCTATTTTTCATCTGTTCTTGAATTTGTTGTACCAGGGCATATTTTGTTGTTTTTTGACAGCTCCCACAGTAATCAATCCTTCATGTGGCTTGTGATGTTGGCAAAAGATGCTACGATTTATTCACAGTGAACTCATGATTTTGCAGAGATGTCTGATTACGTTTTTTTGTTGTTGTTGAAAACTACCATTTATAGTTTTCCAGGTTCCCTTGTCTGAAAGTTTGGTGAATAATCTAAAACATTTAAATGAGTTAAAAGCAGAAGGAAAATATCATTTGTGCCAGTGCTTTTTTACCTGTGTTTCTGTCTTCTGTGTCTCTTTGAGTTGAACTCTTCTTCTGAACTTATTAGCCCTCCTGTCTTCCATTTCCAACATGGGCTTTATGTCGCTTTCTTGGATTGATAGATTCTCTTCCAGATGGCTAACTTTCTCTTTCCTTAAAACAATCATGTAACAGTAATGTTAGCCATTTGTCTGTAATTTGCCTTTATTTTACATGTCACCATACGTCTTTGTGTCGCCTGCATCTGTTATAACAATACTGCTTTACAATTAAGACTGATCTGTCTAAAACCTCATTTCAGATTTTAAGGCAGCTTCTCACATTTCTTTCACGTCCTGTTTGATGTCCTTCAGCTTTTGAACTCTTGCTTCGATATGCTGATGCAGAATCAGAATCCGTTGTCTTTGCACTTTGTACAGATCAACAACCTCAAGGGGGTCTGATAAGTAGATCTTCTGCAAATTGGAAAGGGGGAAAAGCACAAAATTTTGGCTCTGAGCACTGAACAAAATGAGAAATTATGCTTTTAGATTAGATTAAGGCTCTGAATAAAGTCTAACCTCACTGCTGCAGTAGCTGATATGAAATAAATCAGTGGACCTAAGAATGCAACAGAGATCAAATGAATGAAGAACAAACCAGTAAAAATGACAGAACTGACAATCAAGTTTAACCTTAACTATGAAACTTAACATTCAGAATAGTTCCCACTTGGTCAGTTTTCAGCCTCAAGGTAAACCTCACTTAGTTTTCAAAATGATAAAAACTCCAACCATAATGTCTTTAAATTTGAAACTTATTTTAATGCAGTATCACAGAAAGTGCTAGAGTGAACAAAATATATTCTAATGCAATGTGACAGATGAACCACTGCTAATCTCCAAAAGGCTTTTGCTCACTGCTTGTAAGCTGAACAGAAAAAGGCTGTTGCACAATTGCCTCAATCTAAGCCAAGTAACTTGATTTTTGTTGGTGTATTGTTCTGCTTATGAAACACAGAATTATTTTTTCTGTTAAAAAAATTGTAGACTGGCTTGGATCACCTGCCATGCAAGTTGCAATCACTTTGATGCTAAACTTCACACATATTGCAACATAAATTCCAGATCCTCAATTTAAACTTTATTCATTGCAATTATAAATATAATTGTGATGATTTAAGTTTTCTTGAAAAAGTTTGAAATGTTCTATGTTCTTAAAGGACTAATGAATCAAATAGGAGCACTTTGCAGTCAGTGTCTTTAAATAAATTTGATGTAAAGTCATCAGAAAGGGCTTTAGGCTCTAATGGTTTTTCTGAGCTAGTATAAAAATAGGAAATGACTCATCTTCCTGCAAAGAAATCAGAATTTGATTCACAACAATGACAAATAGGAGATAATGTTCATCAACTCGTCTTGATTTAGTTAAAAACATTTAGAAGTGTCAGTGTTTTCTTACAGTTTCTCACTCAGTAGGATGGGAAAGGCACACTCCAAAGGCAGCGTTCCATCTGGACCGGACTTTAAAGCTGTCCCAACACCTGCATTAGCATCCAATGTATTACTGCTTAAGGACATTTTGTGCTATGAACCTAAATTTCAATCCTATGATACTATGATTTGTGATTCCAGCTTAGATTTGTGAAAGGGCATTTATGAAAAATCATATTTAATATTTATTCATAAAGGAAAAGTATGATTCTTTGGAATCAATTTAAACTTCATTTTTTTTATTCAACTTAACAAAAACAAATGAATTGCTTAATGTTGGCATTTAATGATGGTCTGCCAGTTATAACATATTCCTATTTTCTGGCACTATCCTTTCTGTTTTTTACTCTTTTCAGTGTGTCTCCAAACAAAACTTGTTTGGAGTTTGTATTCTATATAGAAAAATCTTTTTCAAATCAAAACATTTGACCTTTGAAAACCAGTTCGGGTATACCCCAAGAAAATGTTTTCTTTGTGAAATTTCTATCTTAAGCCTTTGTACTTATAAACAGGAGATTTTTCAATTTAAAGCTTTAAAAAAGAAATTAATTATTTCAGTGCAGATTTAAGAATGTTATTTGTTGTTTTTTTTTAACTTGACAATGCAAAATGAGAAAAAGCTGTTTGATATTTAACAGCAAGGCCAATCAATGGTCCTTCCTATAAACTAATGACAGGAGCAGTCACTGCCCCACAGGGATGAAAAAAAGGGGAGCTCTGAATATTTTAGGCTGCCTAAACTAGTTTAAGGTCAATTACCCAACAGAAAAATGAATGAAGCACTACATCTAAACACCCCACCCCCAAAACAATCACTGAAGATAGACCAGATTTTTGATGCGGCTTTTGCTAATAAATGTACACACATATTTATGATTTGATTATGTTTCATATGAACCTATTCATCAACATAATTTATCCATCAAATGGGTTAAGCAGTTGTTTTTTGATTGCATTGAAGATTCCTAGATACTTTAGAGAGAAACTCTTTCTTACAAAACATAAAAAAGTTCCCAAAAGAGCATAAATTCTTTATTAGTCCTCCTATATTGTTGTACATGATTAATTAATAAATGAGTTTTTGGTTAGTGCGCTAACTTTAAACTATCAAAGAAGGACATTATTTTTTTGGGGGGGGATACATAAAATATTTGTAAGATTTCAAGGGATTAGATTAATTCTTAATTTAAAAAAGACCAATGATGACTTACATTTGCTGTCTGCAACTTCTTCAGGTGCGGTTGGTGCTAGCTTGAACAACTGATCGGCATAACTCATATGTCTTCTCAGTTCATCCTCACTCTCTTTGAATTCACTTCAAAGAAGAGACAGCGGCATTAGAGTCACATAGGAAAGCATGCACCTGCAGAATAAGCAGTGCATAATAAAATCTAAAATAGAAAAATAGTTTACTTGTTATTCATTGCACTTGCTTCTCTTAGCAACTTATCTAAAGCATCACTGCTCTCTTGTTTGGACTTGGCAGCATTTCCAATTCTGTTGATGAAAAACAGCAATCAGATTCACAGCTAATCTTAAAACATGATGTTAAGTTTGTCATCAGATATCAAAACAAATTTTTTGATATCTGCCTTCAAATACCTTATTTCTTGGAACTGAGTTGGCTTCTCTTTTATAAGCCAATTGTCATAGCCAAGTTGCTGAGCAGACACTTTAATTTCCAGCAGAGTGATGTCATCCACAAGGTTGGTCGTTTTATTCTCTAACATTGCTACTACTGCCTGGAGACATAGGAATGACAGCTTAGATGCAACTGCATGTAAATTCTGACAAGGCGGAAAAGGCAAAGATGTGCAGAATTGACATAGATTTGGAAACAAACACTTTCAAACCAATTTTACAGTAATTTTCACTCCTTAAGTTTGTTCCACCTTTTATATAATAAATGCATTCAGAAAACATAAGACAATTAAAACAGCTTAGTACAAGATTATAATTGATCAGACCAATGTAAAAAGATCAAGGTTTGGGACATATGCTTTGATGCATGTAAAAATATTGTGATTCTAAAATAATTTCATCAAGTTGCTGCTGCATGAAGGTCTTCTGAATAACTGCATAAAATAGCTTCTATAAGCCTAGATTTTTCCCTGAGTAAATCTGAAGTTATATAATTATATAGCTAAACAAAGTATATATTCCTTTATGCATGATTCAATGGCATGGGTATAAAGGTTTCAGTGTCAATTAAAATCTCTTTTTGTAACTGCAGTTCTTTTTATGAAATACAATAAAGGCAATAATTTTTTATTTTATTTTTTTACTTAAGCCTCTTTGAAAGTTACAGTCAGTTGAGGTTGCATTTTTGCATCATACTTTCACCGGAATACAAACTTATACATTTTTCACATGCAATTCCAGCATTGTTTGTCCAATATTGGATTTATTTTCTGGTCTTTACATACAAGAGTGTTAAAATTACCTTTATCTTTTCTTTTCTTTCTCTGCAATAGTTCATTTGGACCTTCTGGGCACCTTTTAAAAAGAGGAGAGAGGTGAATTAGTGCCTTTGCTTAAAGAACAGCTTAATTTGCAGGTTAACTCTGTCTCCACTCATTATGTGGCAATGTATTTTGGGAGAATACATTGGAACTGAGACCTGTCTTGTTACTCTTCCCTCTCAGATAGTTCTCCATTTCTGGATCTCCTAGAAAGTGTGATGTTGTAGAAATGTTTCTTCGATACTTCCTATATAAAGTCGGCATACAGAGATCTGTTACTTCAAGAGAAACCTTCAAGAACATTTACATAATTGTCTAGCAATCATTTAATGTCCCTAAAAACACTAAAAGTCTGGTCTAAAGGGAATCAACATAAGTGATGATAAAAGGCTTATGTAAAAAATATGAAAAAAAGAACAGAAAGCGAATGTGCCATTGAGTGAGTTATGCGTGATCTACACAGATCCCTATTTGAACAGGGACAAGATATGTGCTCCTGGCAGTTATGAGGTGAGGGGATGGCATAAAATACAGAGGAAGAAGTTTATTATATATTAAAAAAACAATATTGCTAAGAATAAGATTGAAATAACATACATTTAAATGAAATATCAAATATAACTCCTAAAAAGTGATTGACATTGATCTGCAGTTACTGTCAGATTTTCAGAGAAATTAGGCTCTACACAGGTGTAGTTAACTCCTCCGACTCCGTTACAACCCCAAAAGACCTAAAATAAAGCCAACTAAGGTAGGAGCATAATAATTTAACACAACATAACCATGGTTTGTTTGTTTTTCAAAGTAAGTAAGAAGTATTACCTACCTCCTTATATCGCGTCTTTACAGAAAGAAATGCAAAGGTAGTGTGAGTTTTGGAAGGTAAACAAGTATCACTATGGTAACTGCAGTTGAAATTCAAATTTTTCTACATGCATTTTATTTTTTGAAAACAATCACATACATTTGAAATATTTCCATGGTCACTGAGAGTCGAGCGAGCGGAGAAACAGCCGAGCGCACAGCTGGTGTTGAGCGCGGAGAGAGAGGTCGAGCGCGAGCAGAGACGGATTCGAGCACGCGCAGAGACGAAACTGAGCGCAAGAACACTGAGCTAGTGTTCAGGCTAGTAGTAAAGTATAACAAAATACAGCACTGTGGTTAGACTATAAAGTAAAACAGCATCAAGGAACAATATCCAAAAATGTTTGTCTGTTTAAGCTAAAGGTTCAATTAGGCTGAAGGTCCTCTCCAGTTCATTACTAGCTTCATGCGTGGAGTGGGAAATATTGTCCAACAATTAATATATTGGCTTAATTAAAGAATTAGAAATTACTAACAATGTAGAGCAATTTGTTTTTTTTTTTTAATGAGCTCAGCATAAACTATATATTAAAAACGTAGCAGTCTGCACATACAGTATTACTGGGCTGCGAATCTTAATAAAACTTTTCATTCCAAGGTTATTGTTGATAAATGAAAAAGAGCCAACATGGATGTTCTATGTAAGACACAGATACAGTTTTTAAAAAAACGTAGCGCATCAGTTTGTTTTGAACCTGCTGGTGATGGTAATTTATTATATCTTAAAAAGTAAAGCAGCACAAATGTTGGCTTTAACGGCACAAATCAGCACAAACGAAGCACCAAAAAATGAGACCACTTTGGATCAAATCGGAGCTTGATGGGGGGATGGTGATGTCATCAGCCAAAAATTAAAATGATTATATCTTAAAAACTAAAATAGCACAAATGACCGTTTTAACTGCACAAATCAGAACAAACGAAGCACTAAAAAGGGAGACCACTTTGGTTCAAATTGGAGTTTAATGGGGGGATGGTGACCTCTGGATGACCTAAAAAATCATCTTTAATATCTCTTAAACAAAAGTAGCATAAACGATATTTTTTTCTGCACAAATCTGCACTAACGTTGCACTAACCATTCAGTCTATTTGCAGAGTTTTTTTTGACGTGGGTGGGGTGTCAGCTTCACGCAGCTATTACTACATGCTTCCACATGTGTGCTGAGGTACCAGTGTGAATTTCATGTGTGTGGGACAATTCTTAGGTTAAAAACATTGAGGATGCATTTTGTGGCAGGTCCTTGCCAAAAACTGCATCCCCTGCTATCTCAGAGGAGTTGACACTTGTACGTCTGGATTCTTGTATATTCATCAGTAATTAAGTACAAGGATCAGCAAATGCAAATTCTGCCCTGTAAAACAATGACAGTGCAATTGTCGCTTCATATGATCTGAAGCCCCATTTGGAGCTTTTAAACAGGATTTTGAAAAACTTTGATAAATTGCCGCTGTAATATTATAGATTTTTTAGAATAAAAAGCTAGCAATGTCCATAAACAAACAAAAAAAAAAAAAAAAATACAATACAGTTCAGTAAAATACAGTTCTGTTTTATGCCTCATTCTTGTAAGTTTAAAATGTTCCAATGCTGCTGAATGCACCATAGCTTTCTGACGCGCAGCGAACGCATCTCACTGGTCTGTGAACGCTGTGCTGTGTAGATGCGCGTTTGATTTTCCACTAAAGAGAAAGCTTTGCAAACTCAAAACTCACGTCGGCTAACACGGTTTGGTGTTGTGTGTAAATAACAAGAGACCACAACAAATAAATCAGCCGTACCATGGTCAAAATCTTTGGATTTAATGTTGTTCAAAAAATCCGTACTTTTGTAAATCAATCTGCCAAATAACCACAACTTTTTTCCCACGAGAGGTATTTTTAAACGTTTTTATATCATTAATATAAGAACATAAGCTCCATTGAACATAATTTAATCCGTTTTCCTCGTCGATATACAGTTCAACAGAGCAAGGCGCGCTCCCACGACTGGGGATGCATATTTCGGCAGGCATGCACTTTTGGACATAACACCTGTTCTGACGTGTCATTTCGGCCGCATTCGAATTCAGCGGCTGGCCACGTTTGTCGGCCGATTGATAGTGGCGCGCTGCGGGCTCCTCAGTTTAGAAGATAACTTCGCATGCGGCCGACAAATGCTGTCCCTGGATTCTAAGGTAGCCCCTAACCACATAAACTAAGCGGTAAAACCAGAACAAAAAACAAAGTTAAAGCAAACACAAGAAAAAATAAATGAATAAATTGTGTTTTTTGTAATTTATAATTATGCGATATCACATGCGATCTTTAGATTTTGGTTTATTGTTGCAATACATTTTTCACAAACTGTTTAGAGATTTGTATCCTTTAAGAATATATATTAAAGAAAACAACAAAAATGTTTTGATAATGGTCAGTTTTTTTTTTCCTTTAATGGACATCCCTTGCGATCTGATGGATGTACAGTAGAGGGCGGCAAAGCGCCTGTGTGTGGGTGAAGAAACTTTCTATTTTATCTTTGTTGAAATTTTAAACAGATCATGAAATACACCAAAATGAAATGCAGAAGAAAATGACACAACAAGCAAAATAAATAAATAAGATATAAGTATACCATAGCACAAAAATGCCTGTGGTTTCTAGCAACATTAATAATAATAAAGGACAATATGTAACATTTATGGGGCTAAAGTTGTAGTTGACATGCCAAAAGAATTTTCTTATTGTTTATATTGTAATTACAAAGTAAAAGAAAATCAAGACCACCTAACTTGGAGAACACATAATGAATAAGTATATTCAATGAAAAGGTTGGATATTTTATTACAAATTTTATCCAATTTATTTTAAAAGTATATTTTATTGCGAAATTAACAAAGTTGACCCGTCCTTTAGAGTTTTAATCCATCAAATAAGTGTTCTTCAGAAAATTAGTATTAACCTAAAAATAAATAGTGTATTAAATGACATTTAAAAGAGCTCTATCAATAGTTTTGCTTATCTGAGGGTCTACATCTAGTGATAAGGTAATCTTGATATTCCTTTATTCTTTGAGAGCAGAATGACATAGGTTTAGATTTTTTTCCTTGGTTTTTCTTTTAATTATGGGCTTGAAATTATCCTGGGCAAGTCTTTCACTAAATATTAATCTTTCTCCATTGTCAGTTGTATTGGTCATAATAGTTGTAACAATAAAGAAAATACTGTATAACTTGAAGTACCTTATTGATGACTTCCAAATCCTAGGTTTTACATACAACCTGTTACCCTTTGGTGAAATCTAAATGAGTGAGGCAATTACTTTTTGAGCAAAACACCTGGCTGTCACAGTGCACTTGAAATAGTTCATCTCACATATAACTTCTTATAAATTAATGGGTTTTAAGGAACTGACTTCTTCTGAATAAAATACTCAGAATAATCATAGGAA